CAATCAGCATGCGGAACTTTTAGGTCACCGACGATCAGAAAATTAGGTGCGGCCATCGCCGCCTGTCTTAGTAACTTACCAACATGCGTGTCCTCTTCTCGCATGGAGGATGGGCTACGATAAACACATGCTATAATCTCCAATCTACCCCATGCTCTTAGATAGTATGATACCACCTGAACGTTAGCAGAACCCATGGTAAATGGAGCCTCCCAGCGTTTATATTGGCATTTTATGAGCAATAGTACTCCTCCACCAGTCTGATACCTGGGCCTGTCGGCCGTGTAACACGCAAAGTCTATAAGCAGATCACCAATAAGGTCATCTGGAGAGAGCCAGGACTCCGACACAGCGGCCACGTCAACATGCTCACAAAGCGTCACTACCTCTTCCCAGTTGTTACGTACACTACAACAATTAGTGTACCACACGCTTAGTATCTCCGAACGCAGTTGGTTCCCATCGGACGTAGAACCCGAGGGGATAACCCGTTTTTTGTACCATTTCACTTCGATCGGCTACCTGAGTCGATGAATCAACGCTGGACTGCTGTAACGCACAACGGGATAATCCCTTTCCTGGCTTCGCCCGCCTGGGCTTGCTGGATAAACTTCCGATGGGTTTTCTCCCATTTACCTGAGTCGACCTAACAGCACTGCACTTCGGATATTTTGTACGGTCCAGTTTAGGTGTGGCAAGTTGTTCATTTATTCTATCATTTTTTGTAAAGATCATACCACCCATGGACTTTGGTGCCACTACTATCGAGCATGAGTCCTCAATTGTTTTCGAACGCACCGGCTGAAGTTCCATTGCCACATCTTCACTATTCTCTTCCGCCATAGAGGTGTGATTCACATTTCCATCAAGAGCAAGTTTCTCCACAACCAAATGCAGTCCAGGAGTTATCGCACTGGCGTCTTGTGAAAAGGGTTGTCCAGACAAGCTGACCGCCCACGCCACAGGAGAGCAGACGCTAGAGTTTTGCTTAGGTGTCTGCGTAACGTGAGGCTCACTATTGTGAATTCCAACGTGTGAGACCGCAGATTCGTTAGCCAATCTGGTATTAGTACCTTTTAACCGGCTCAGCCGAGGGGCCTCAGCCTTCGAAGTTAGTGTGTCCGGTGTTATTTGATACCTACCATTTGTCTGACTTGTAAACAACCCGGCCCTGTTAAATAAAAGGTCCCGGTGTATAGGGTTCCGAAACTCAACCAGGATAGGCATTGCATAACCTTGTTGGCGGAGCATACTTGTTTCTCTCCAGCTGCCAACATGATGTACTCTTTTGATACCAACTGATAAAGGTATTCCGGCTATACGAAGGATATCGTGCACTCGCCTTCTATCTAGGTCCGGTCGAATTTTAGCTTCCCGTATGACTGGCTCCTCCCTATTGTAGATAAGAACGTTCCGTTGTCTACCCATGGCAAGTTCTGCACTTCACAAGTAACATTCCAATGAAGACTGCAACTCTTCAACTTTTGAACGCAATGTCTCAATTAGCAAGCTCTGGTCACGAATCAACTTCACGGCAATGTCTAGTCTATGCACACAGTTTCTACTAGCCGAACCATGCACAGCTGAGACATGAGAAACTGTATCAAAAGTCCGATCGTGTATCAAGCGAGAACCAATGTCTGCTAAGCACACGCAGTGGAAGCAAATCCACTTTAATTGGGGATGTCGGACATAAAGATCTATAGAGTCCTGGTCTAATTTAGAGCAATTTTTATGATACCATAACAAGCATCTGTCGCACTGAATTCCCTCTCTGACCTCAACGCCACAAGTGTGCTCACCACATTTATAGCCAGCCACCGATGCCATTACAAATAGCACGTAACAGCCATGTATAGAATAATAAAAAGCCAGCTAGTTTGGTAGGATTAACTGACCGCAATGAGGCCGTAAGATGAATGAATATTCACAACAAGTTAATACAATGGAAAATACAACAATATTAAATAAAACAATAAACACCGAATTAACACGACCAAAAGGAACGCAAAGCGAAGCAATACTGGAACGAACTCACGCGATTACCGAAGATCCAAGATATCTTGGATCAATATTTGATGGAGCAGTGTAAAGAATTCCCCTCAGTCACTTTAGATCATGCTTCTAAGCCAAATTTGAAGGTAGAAATTTCAAGATGGAGCTTTCTCAAAATTTCAAAGCCTCGCAGAGCGTCGGAAGCCCTTGTATCAAAGCCTTCTGTTTAAATAATTCCGGTTGAAATATTCTAATCGCAATCGCTTCGGCCGTCCGTAAGATTTGCTTTCTAAGACATTTAGTGTACCGTGGTTGTTCTACATAAAGTATATGAAAGGCATCAGCGGGCTAATTCGGCGTCCGCTTTCCACCAGATGTTCCAGGATGGAACTGTTGGGACGACTGATGATGCCTTCCGCAAAGCCGCTGGGCAGTGCTCCGCAATGCGTTTAGACAGATGCCTGGTTGTGTGTCACATGTACCTGGCACCACAGGCGCAGGTAAAGTGATATAAGATGTAAGATTGGGACTGAACCGGAAGTCTGTCTTTAATTCGTTTGGCTGTAAAGGGAGCTGTTTCCGCAAGGACGTGTGGGCATGCGGGCCGGACTGTTCTAGCCACTTCAGTGGAAATTCTTCCGGTCAACAAATCAAATGCAACATCGCCTTTGAAGGGAACCGATAGAAACACGTCCTTCTTAGGGACAGTAGTAATCACTTCATGGCTATTGCGGATCACTGCATGCTTGTTGATGAATGGTGTCGGATAACCGTTAAGTTGCAGCATTTTGAGAATATGGATCTTTTTGGTCCCTAGCGTCGCTTGGCTGAAAATTTTCGTAGCAGGAAAATACAAGCAGCGAACAAGATTACGTTTGTACCTCAAGGGTACAAAGCTAAGAAAATGTGTATATTGGTTGGAAACATTGGTGTTTGTATCGCAGATTATAAACGTATCGTCCATAGAACGACAATAGAAATCAAACGAAGCGATGATTGGTCGTATAGCATCACGCTCAATCATAGCGAGGAAAATATCAGCAAGGAGTGGTCCTAGGGGGCCCCATCGCGACACCGTCAATCTGTCTGTAGTAGACTCCACTAAATAAAAATTGTCTGTTGAAGGAACACCGTAAAATTAATTCCTTCAGTTTCCACACCGGAATACCCACATCTATGTTCTTTTCATACTTGTAATCACACACAAAACTGACAGTTTCCATCATTGGAACATTCGTAAAAAGTGACTCAACGTCCAGAGAGCATCAATTTGTCATTTGATTCCATGTATTCTACTCGTTTCACAAATTCAAATGTGTCTTTCACGGTGTATTTGCATAACTCACTGCGTACTTGTTCGAGCAAACATGCAAGCCATTTCGCAACCGAGTGAGTAGCTGAGGCTGACATGTCGATTATCGGACGCAGAGGGACTTGTGGTTTATGTACTTTAGGTAGTCCATAAAGACGTGGAGGATGGGAACCCACTGGCTTAGCTGTTCCAGTAGCACGCTATCTACTTGGTTCATACACTTCAGCTCCTTCCACACTTGTGTGATTTTAAATTCATCCTGCCCGGTTTTATCCTTCTGTACCGTTTCACAAACGAACTTACTCTTATCTTGCAAAATGGACTGCAGTTTGGAAACGTAGTCGCATCTATCCATCAGTGCCCACCCGGAGCCCCTTTCGGGTCTGGAGATAATTAAATCAGGATTTGATTCCTTGATTCCTTGATGGCTTCTCTGGGTTTCTTAGTCAGGACTTTAGAGGATTTGGTTTTTTAACTCATATACTGCAGCAAAAGTTGAACTAAAGGGGTTCTGAAAGTATCTTTGGCAAGCGACGACGTAGGTGTTAGCTCGTTTAGTTGTCACATCAAGTTTTCTAACTGGGTCTCCAGATGAATTTGTCTATACTGAGGCTGCGAGAAACAAAATCTTGGTCTAAGTTCTAGTGCCTCAAGTTGCAGCTGACTCAGCTTCAGGCTGGATAGATTGTGGACATATTTTTCTGGATGTGGCATTAAAGACAGACTTCCGGTTCAGTCCCAATCTTACATCTTATATCACTTTACCTGCGCCTGTGGTGCCAGGTACATGTGACACACAACCAGGCATCTGTCTAAATGCATTGCGGAGCACTGCCCAGCGGCTTTGCGGGAAGGCATCGTCAGTCGCCCCAACAATTCCATCCTGGAACATCTGGTGGAAAGCGGACACCGAATTAGCCCGCTGATGCCTTTCAAATACTTTATGTAGAACAACCACGGTACACTAAATGTCTTAGAAAGCAAATCTTACGGACGGCCGAAGCGATTGCGATTAGAATATTTCAACCGGAATTATGCAAACAGAAAGCTTTGCTGCAAGGACTTCTTCTACCCTGGACCTAGTTAGCTCACCAATTTTTATCATTCCGTGCGCCTACAGTGGTCGGATGATGCATTTGGCATTCCACGGATCAACTAACACGTGCTTTGTCACATGTGTTATTAATGGATTTTATGGATCATAACTTCTGAGTTTCTGTTTGTCGTGATTCCACTATTCCCACCAATTTGGCTTCATTTGGCATTTGCTTTGTGCCTTTCCAGTTTATAATGGTAAATGCCTGAGGAGATTTGTCGAAAAGAATACTCATCGCAACATTATGTTCTTGAATTTCCATGAGTATAAACTAAGAAATCCTTTTCTGCTGCTCTTGAGTTGGTCTACTACACTTGTGTCGCTTAAGTATGACGGCATAATACATCCAGTTCGTAGAGTCGTGGACTTTGCTTTCAGTGCATTATATCGCAGAGTCAGTCAGGATAGAGAAAACTAAGCATTTACCCATCTATTCGTATGCACCAACTGTTGCTTACAAACCATGTGTTACGGGTTGTTACGGTTACTTCACTTCATTATTTCAAATCTTGAGGTATTTTTCACCTGTAACTAACGTTTATAATAACCGTAGTGATTCAAGCAATTCCAACGAATTATTTTACTCCTCCGGTGTAGCTTTTCCTATGCCAATTTCGAAATCGCCAGCTTCGCAGAAGAAACTTGCGGAGAAGGCTTGGGCTCATACCAGGTAGTCATATCCGCGTTAAATTCACCGGGTCTGCGGGCCCGGTTCCCATCAGCCTGGCGGCCAGAGAAGAGAGTGAACAGGATGCGCTCACCAAGTGGGGGGCCGCTGAAGATGTGAGGTGAGTAGCATTTTCCAAACCGCGATAGCGCGTTAGATCATCCAATGGAATCCAACTACAACACTTCACGTACATTGTTTTCCTTTTGTGCATACATGTTTGGTAAAACTTTGTATTAGTTTTAATAATTAACATTATTTTAATCAGTTTAGCCTGCAACTGCAGGAAGTTTTGTATATAATTGTGCTTCTACATCTCACTGGCATACATACTTGCGACCAAGCGAGATTTATTTGGCTCGCTTATACACTTGCTTGACTCGCTCAAGCCCTTCATGATGACGTAGACTGCAGACTATCGATGCGTTGTACTCATCCATTGGGAGCAGAAATGATATTTGCGACTGTAATTGCCTAAGACAAAACTTGGGAAGGAAGTTGAACCCACCAATTGGATAGTACGATACAGGGAGGGAACTGTTTCCCTGAAACGAACGCGATCAGTGTGAAGGCGTGACGAGTTGAACTAAGGTCTAAGTGCACAATGTAAGATAATACCCGACCATGAATAGGTGTGGTTTCCGGTACATTAGTCAGTGCCAAACGGATACTCGACAGTGGATGATCATTAAACAATCTGGATCAAATGCTCAATCTTTTTAAGAGGGATAATGCTTAGGGGAGCTCATAACATCTGTAGGATTGAAATATGTTGTCTAGTTTCACCTTACATTTCCAAGACCTTAAGGAAAATTGAACACTGAATTTGGCGTCTCGGCTTACTAAATACCGGAGTGTTTGAATATCATGTTACCACAAGTTGAAGCAGTGTAACCTCCCTCATTATTATTCTGTACATCAGTAGCGATATGCATGTTGCTATGGGAATAGACCAGGTAAAACAAATCAGCTTGCGTCCAAAACTCGCCTTAGTACGTTTGGGGAAGATAAAGCTGAATCACCCGCTTTCCTGCAGACCAATTTCTCAAACGATAATTGATGGACGCTACACGTATATTTCGTACAATTTGCATGAGGGTAAAGCTTGGGTGAACCAAACTAAATAGCAACTTTTGACTAAGTCATTGTCTACCTCACGATGGATTAGTATGAGTATGCCTATTTCATTCTTTTGTGTAAATCTGCTGCTGTGTGTTCTCGCATATAGAGACAGTGCTTCCAAAACGTTACCTATTTCGGTCCGTATCTATTGAATGTGTTGGATGGAACGAGGATCTTGGTAGTGTCCTTCAACTAAAGCGGAATTTATTACGAATCCGGAAAACTACATTTGGTATAAATGAAAATAAATGCATACCATCTCAATTGGTACACTTTGGGACCAATCATCTTTGAGTTAGTGTTGCGTTCTGCATGATTTAATGTTATGGGCACGCATATTCCCAGTTTTTGTAGACGAACGCGCTAAGTTGATCTCGTGAGACCATCCATTTTTCACTGCTTACCTAAAATTCTGAGAGGATGGTAAGTCGGTTGGTGATCGCTAACAATGCTAGTGACCTCGACACGACTTACGAATGATCACGAAATAGCGTGACTCTTTTTGTTGCTGCCAAGTGCAGTGGACTATGCATATCTTAACAGAGTGAAACAAGTGAAGAGAATGATCATACAGAATGAACTTTATTGTTTGAAAGAGGCGGCGAAAGCATCAAGAAAATTTATTCATCATCTTGGTCTCCTAGCGAGTGCGTAAGGGTGGCTAGATCCTTCTGTATTTTGGCCGATGGAAAGTGCACCATCCACACCTGGTAGCAGTGACGTAGCACGTTATTCTTACCCCTGAATTAAGTAAGTAAGTAGACGTAAGTGGTACGTAGGCGTACCAAGTATCGGGTCTTCATCCACCAGACAAGATCGAATGATCCAGCAGTACGCAGCGAGAGACATCAGCGACTGTGGGCTGCCCTAATGAAGTGAGTCAAACTTCTGAAGCAACGTAATAAAAGTTTTAGCAACCTTTTAGAACTAGTTAGAAAATCAGCCTGATTATCCCACAAATTCATTTTCCCTCAACGTACACACCGTTGTAGATGGCTATTGGTTTTTCTATTTCCAAGTATTACCGGCCAAGTTCTATTCCAAACTGAGTTATTTTTGATCTCACATCATCAATATTTTTAAGACGAATTCATCTGTTTTTATCTACGTTTAATTATATGCTGTTTCAACGAATAGATAACCAAACAAAGCGGCTGTTTGTCATTTGAGTGACACAACATCGACTACTGATTATTACCGAACTAGATGAGCTTTTCTCACGCTACCGATCTATACTGTCATTTATCGGATCCTCGGAGAGTAACCGTCCATAGTTTTGAAAACATTATGCTGCGTTATTGTTTGATTTCAACACTTAATGGCTTTATGGCCTTATTGCTGGGTTAGCGGTAAACTATTGGTGAACGTCACACAACTGATGTGTCAACCGCTAAACATTGCTTGACAAATATCCCAAACATGTATTCTCAAATCTCTCTGAACTCACTACCAGTGGTAATTCTAATTTATTGCGCTGCACGGCAGAGATGAAGCCGAAGTCACTCTTGCTCAGAGACTGGAGGAAGATGCTGCCACAAAGGCCACAAATCGACTCAAATGGTTGAAAGAGGTAGCCACTGCCCAGCTAAAACACTTGGAGGAGTTTATAAGAGTTAACCACCCCACTGAGGAGGAGAAGTAAGCATTTATTTCACCTATATGGGAAAGAAATGTGTAGCCATGACACTACCATCTGTGATAAAGTGATGTCACAGTTTGTTCATGTTCCAATGTTGCATGTTTTTGTATGAAGAATGGATGAAATGACGGCGTCGTCTAACAATCTACAACTTCCGATTTTTATGTTTGGAATCATAAAGGGCAATGCTTGTTTCACAATACAATGATGTGTTGAGAAAATCATGCACCTTCTTACACACAGAAGCCTAACCGTTTATGACAAAATGTAAAGCCCTTCAACTAGTTCAGTTTGAGATGTGTACTCAATCAATCAGACTCAGATCATTCTATTTGTCGATAACATGTAGACACTGTCATAAACATAATTTGTTGTTGCTACTGATGAATATCCACATTTATACGATAGATAAATGTTTAACGTGAGGTATTTACCTATTGAAGTTGTATGAGGAAATCATATTTCGGATTCGGTTCTGATAAAATGCTGTCACTGTATCGATACACAACAGCTACGGAACGATTTTACAGAAAGTATGAGTTAATTCTATCTATAGTGCAACAGTGCTTTCACTCTTTACTAGGGTTACACGCAAACAGAGATTACTTTGTCTTTATAAGGTGCTTGTGTATCTGAAATCCGTAAAACATGCATATCTAAAGACAAGATTTTACTCCGACGAAGCAAATGCCACACGTCTACATTCACAATTTATGCCTGCAGTCCATCGAGCCCAAATGAGGTGGTATCAGAAACCCAGTTGCCTCAGCTTCGTGAAAAACACCAGCGGCTGGTGGCATTATTACAAAAATACGGAGTTCCTTCAAGTGAAGATGATGATAAGTCGTCAAGAATCATTCAACAACTAGATACCGGGGATACTCTACCCACAACTGTTGCTCTGCGCACGTTGTGGTCAGAGCTTGAGGAAGAGAAATTGTGCAAGCTGCAAGAGCAAACGATCAATGAGTTTGAAAAACTAGTTCGCGAAACCTACCGAACTTCGATGGGTCGTAAAATCAAGTCTCCCAAATTCCGCCGCCGCTACCAATGGCGACGTGAAGCTTATATGTATAATGAATTCACAAAGCCAGTCACGACCAAAACCTTTTCTTATTTTGACTTCTGGCCAACACCTGTCATCGAATCAAGCGAGGAAGAGGAGGATGAAAAGCACGAATTTATTAGGTAAGTAAGATATTTATATGGCGCTTTACTCAAATCCTACAGGGTGACCCAATTTGGGCTTATGGAATTTAGGTAGATTTTCAAAAACGTTGCAACAAAATCTGGACCCTGGTGAGCTCCATGGTCCACGATCTCGAAGCACATTAGACAACATAACCCTAAACGAAATCTCAAAAGTAAAATGGTATATAAGAAACAAAAGAAAGCTTTGCTATTCATTTTGCAAGTGTTTTGAGGTACGGATTTTGTTGTTCTGTGGTACAGGGCATCGTCTTGTCGGGGGGACTAAAAACACTTGTGTGGCACAGAAGCATCCATGGGGCTAAGCATGTTTTACCGAAATATAGTATCTCAGCCAGTATACAAAGCCAAACGAGCGATCTTCAAGTTGTTGACTTAAATACGACTTCATTTAAGTACAAACATTTGCGAAGTAACAAAACATAAGGTCGAATTGCTGTCAAGCAAGTACCATGGCTTAAGATTGGGCTTTGCTATACACCAACAGATGAGGTGGATTAGCCTAAAATTATAACTTTTATTGAACTACTAACTTACTGTCAGTAGATGGATCGTCCGTGGGTATTTGGTAAGAACATTATTCACGGGTTGTGGATTGATAAAGCCAGTTGCTCGTTAGCCGATAGCGTAGATGTACTCAGTTAACTAGGGTAACATGAACAAGATTCAATTGTTGCTGCAAGAGGCTTGGAACATTATAATAGCTTTAGGTACTAAAATGGGTGCCTTTTCATAATTTTACGCTATCAGCTGCGAATATATTAACCAACACAAAAAGGGCAAAATTTCCAAATGGCTAGACAAAGAGGAAAGTGGCGCACTGTCATCAGTAGAGGTTTCCAGAGCATCGATCGCACCACATTGACGAGACTACTTGGGACTGGTTTCTGGTCTGCGGGGCGAAGTTTTAATTGCCTTTTTCTTCTCAACTGACTAGGGTTGACGTGAGCGTTCATGTTTAAAACAAACAATCGTGAATATTGCCTGGTATCAAGCCATTTGTATTCAAAATGTGGATAAATTAGAACGATGTTAATGACCTAGGAAATTGTTTGAACGGTGAATCAATCAGACTAATGTTGTAAAAGTTATATATATTCAGCGTATAACGTATAAATGACGTTGGGCACAAAAGACAACGGTCGATTTATAGGC